TTTATTGGCGTGTCTAAACTAGATGACACTTAAAGACAGTCGTGTTTCGATGTGCCGGGTTTTCGGTGCTTCAGGAAGGACCGAAATGCACACGGAGGAGAACTCATGGCCTACGTCCGCGCTGACCCTCCTTCACGCAGACGCGATGATCTAGAGTTCGAAGATGTGGAATACAGAGGAAATGGGCTTTCATTAGCATGTATTAACCCCCATCTATGCAGGCTAATGTCTTTATGAACGATGCCAATTGATCTATTGATCGTGTGTCTACAATATATGACAATTTTATGATTTTAGGTGACTTGAACTTTGATTGTCATAATGAAAGTAAGGGTAAAACTATTTCTGACTTCTGTGATATGCTTAAACTCATAAGCAAATTTACAGAAGCTACATGAACAGAATAATTTTAAATCTGAATGTTCCTTTTCATGTTGCATATGTGTTTGATGATACCGAGGCTATTTACTGGGCTCATGATAAGCTAATAAGAGAAGTTGTTGATATACATTTACCTGTTAAAGAGCGCAAACCTCGTGTAAATAAATCTCCTTTTTTAAACAGTAATCTTAGAAGGGCTGCCTTTAAGAAAGCTATGTTACGAAATAAGTACAACAGCATCAAAATAGCTGCTCACTGGGTAGCTTACAGAAAGCAAAGAAATTATGTAGAGCAACTCCGTAGACAGTCTGTACGGCTCTATTTTCAAGGACGATGTGGTGGAGGTCCAGCCTCTAAAGATTTTTGGCCTACTGTTAAGCCCTTTTAACTAACAAATGATTTAATGACCAGAACATTATTTTAGAAGAAAACGAAAAAATTGTATCCAGACAGAGTGAAGTTTGTGATGTTTTAATGATTTTTCTCTACAGTTGCTGATGATATTGGTTCTAGAGGGCGTGTATGGCAAGCCTACTTAACATTTATTCAAGGAGCAATGTCGAAATGAGATGCTATATAAGATATCTTATATGATATATAAGATATCTTATATCGTATATAAGATATCTCATTTAATTTTCTATATAAAATATCTTATATAATATATGAGATATCTCATATAGCTATATGAGATATCTTATATAATTAAAGTCTCGTTACTAAATAAGATATCTTATATAGGAACGAGATTTTAACAAAATGTCGAAAATGAAGTCTCCCCGTCCGGAATATCTCAAGGATCTACGTAGGGACAGTATGCTTGTTGTAACAACACGTGTTCCTGTCGCCGCCATTATGACGAGCCCACTTCAAGAGTGCGGGAAATAGCAGCCTCTGCTTTGGCCGCTATAAGAGAGACAAGGCGAGCTAGGCCTAGGGAAAATACAACATCCGTACCATCCCTCTCCGCCATTGCGCCCAATGCATTCCTGAATGTGCTCCGAATGATTCTCGAGGGAGAAATTAGTTTCTGGTGTTTAATGCCACGAAATCGCATTCTATATGAGATATCTTATATAGCAACGAGATTTCAATTATATAAGATATTTTATATAGCTATATGAGATATCTTATATATTATATGAGATATCTTATATAGAAAATTAAATGAGATATCTTATATGCGATATAAGATATCTTATATAGTATATATGTTATCTTATATACTTATAGTAGATATCTCATTTAATTTCTATTAAAGAGATATCTCGTATAGGATATAAGATATCTTATATATTATATAAGATATTAATTATGAAATACAGGATCGACATTGCTCCTTGAATAAATGTTATAAGTTGGCTTGCCATAGGCGTGTCTAATTTTACAGACCACCCGAGTGTTATTGACATTAAAAGTTCTGTCTGTAAGTTTTTAACTTTCAGCACGTAGAAGAGAATGATGTTAAGAAACTGTTTTCATCATTGATTGTGACAAAACCCAGCAGGTTTTAATGGTATCCCTGCCAAGTTTTTAAAAGTTGGTACAGAAGCTTTTACATCTGTCATAACATCCCCTTTTAACCATTGCGTAACTGTTTCTCATTTCCCTGATGTTCTGAAAAAGGCACAGGTTTTACCAATTTTTAAGAAAAGCAATCCTATGGAAAAGAGTAACTTCAGGCCTGCTTATATTTTACCCTCATTGTAAATGTTTTTTGAAAGACTTGTTCTAACCAACTGAGAGAATATTTTAAGCCAATTTTTAGTCCTTTCCTAGCAGCTTTCAGGAGCTGTTACGGGTGTAAGTCTGTCCTGCTGCGAGCTCTTGAGGACTGGAGACAGGCCTTAGACAACCATCAGCATGTTGGGGCCATTCTGATGGACCTTTCCAAGGCATTTGACTGCATTCCTCATAATCTGTTACTCGGGAAGCTGCAAGCTTATGGACTGGGTAAGTCATCTATTGACTTCATAACAGCTACCAGAGTGGCAGAAAACAGCAGGTCAGACTTGGGCCAGAGACCAGCAAATGTGCTGATGTAAAGAAGGGGTTCACACAGGGTTCTATTGTAGGACCTCTAATTTTTAATATTTTTATGAATGATATTTTTACCTTTGTAGACAAATATATTTTATGTAATTACGCAGATGACAACACGCCCTCTAAGATTTGTGACAGTTATTTATATTTGAAAGATTGATAAGAAAAAGAGAGCAAAGATCTTATAGAATGGTTAAATTGGAATGGTATGACGGCCAATCCAGAGAAATTCCCGGTAATATGTTTTGGCAAAAAGACTAGTAACTCTATCGAATCTTTTAATATTGAAAGCCTTGAGATTATGTATGAAGACAGTGTGAAACCATTAAGTATGGATATTGACTTTCTCCTTAAATTTGATGTACATATATCTCTCCTTTGTAGAAATGCTGCTAAACAACTTGCTATTTTAAAAAGACTGGGCAGCAATTTTACAAAAAAGGAAAAATGACAATTTTTTGAAATCTGTTATTATTTGAAATTTTCACTTTTGTCCATTTGACTGGCACTTTTGTACATTGGCAAAGACTAGGAAAATGAATAGAAAAAAAGTTAAGGAACGAGCACTTTGTTTTATTGAAAATAATTATGTTTCCCCAGTCATTGTTAGAAGACACAAACTTGATTTTTTACATGTAAAACGTATAAAAGATATGGCATCTGAGTTGTTTTTTTTAACTTTTTCATGATATTTCTCCATCAATTTTACAAAATCTTGTTGAGAGGAAAGAAGTTTTTTACAATCTTAGACAAGATAACATGGTAAAGATCCCAAGGGTAAACACCTCCACACATGGTAAGAGATCTTTCCGTTTTGCTGCTTCCCAGGTGTGGAACAGCCTGCCAAATGAACTTCGATTAGCTGAAAACTATAAGTCATTACGTGGGCTGCTTCGCACCTGGGACACTCAGGTCTGGTCATGTGCTATCTGAACACACCATATAGTGTGAGTTGTCCCCTTTGGAATCAACCTACATGTATACTATTACAACTTTTTAACTTTCACTGTTGCTTTTGTTATTTAATTTGCTGATATACTTCAGTTCTATACAGCCGGTGATATTTATTTTAGACTTGAGCTTCATTATTTAAAAAGATCATTACTTTTTACGATATCATAATTATAGCTCTCTGTTTCAATCTATGACTTCATTGTCTCTTTTAAAGTCACACCTTATTAGTGTATATCCTGTAATTTTTTACACTTTGCTACATTAGCATATATGTACATTACACTATGATAGTGTCTTAACTTGTCTTTTGTAACACTTGTGTGACATAGAAGCGTTCACTATTTAATTACTACTTTTTTTTTTTTTTTGCCTAAACTGTGATTGCATATGTACTACTGTATATTTGAAGCATATCTAAATTGAACTGTTGTCTTGTTTATATATATATATATATATCCATAAGTACTGTGATCCTTGTTAATTTTTATATATGTTTTGTCGCAGAATAGCACTAAAGTGCTAATGTTATCATGTTACATGTATATGCGACGTTAAATAAAGGTTCTTGACTCTTGACTCTTCATAGAAAAGTATACTTATATTCACTTTCAGTTTATGTGTAAAATCTATGTGTATAATCAACACACCGTTACACACGTATGACTACGTCATGTGTAAACATTGACAGGAATGAACGTGTCTGTTGTCTCTTGACTCTTCTTACAAAAGTATACTTACTTTCACTTTCGGTTTATGTGTAAAATCTAAGCAGGAAACAAAATTGAAAAATTCCTACTGGTGAGTACACGTTCCATTTACTCATAACGCACGTTTATATATAATTTCGTGTATAATCAATACACCGTTACACACGTATGGCTATGACAGGAACGAACGTGTCTGTTGTATAAACAATATATATATATATATATATATATGAACAATGTAAGCTGATATGTCAGTACGGGTACGACCACAGCTGTATACATACGTACACATGCTTCTATATAACACAACCGATAACAACTTCGTGACGTCTGAGGTAAGGTTATTAACAATGTTTACATGTTTTATAAGAACTACATTAAACGGTAAGTTAATAAGTGATTCAACTTTAGTAAATTATAGATTGATTATGTGATAGTTAGCCATAGTAAGCGTAGGACAGTTCTAAACTTCCTGGTTTTGTTTTCAATCACGCCATTATTATCATTACATTTGACTTCCGCATGGTAAATATAACGTGTGCAATTATATCATAGATACACTGTAGTACATATGGAAAATATCGATAATTGGATTTTGCCGAAAGAAAAGATATCTCTAACAGTCTGATCCAGTTCTCTGATAAAGCTTCGCTAAACTAACTGACATTTAATGTCACTTGGTGATTTATAATATCGTGAGTCATGAATTAACCTTATGTTTTGCAATGTCATACTTCCATAAGTCCAACATCCAGTTCATCCTGTCAGAGAAATTTAATGATACTTCTTGGAACACAAACTACTGGTTATGATTCCTCATTCAGCCTTTTCCCCCACTGACACTCTCCCTTTCCCCATCTCATTCTCTCTTCATTTCCATACGCATTTGAACATGATGGATATTTTCTCTTTCAGACCACCATATGATCCAATTCCTTGGCGACTGTTGCTAATAACAGAGACTTATGGCCATGTCTCATCCAGTCAATCTATCGAATGATGGGTCAACTATTAGGACAACCAAAAGGAATCATTTCGAGGAGAAAGTACCTGAAACAGCGGCCGCCGGAATTCATACATCAAATGATATTCAGTACGTTGACTTTCCAGAGCCATTCACGTCTCCAATACGCGTCATTAGTATGAATGGCAGTGGTCCAGGTGACGGACCAGGTACTGCACTCAAGACCAGAAAGTTAATTGCTGACGTCGTAATGTCTAACGAGCCTGACATTCTCCTTTTTCAGGAATTCAAATGGCAAGGGATCAAAGGTCGTGCTTGGAAGGACACTCCTTTACCTGGTCACTATGTATACACAGGCCACACGGAAGCCAGTATCATGTACGATACTAGACGTTTTCAACTTACAGAATTACCTCAAACACAATTACAGGCAACTTTGGACGAAATGAAAAGGAAAGGTGAAGTGTCACAAGATTTCACTCCTTTAGCACGTAGTAGTATACGACGTTTAGAAACAAAGGGACCAGAAAAATTCAAAGTTCTTGTTGTGTCATGGCACGGTGCTCATCATAAATTGAAAGTAGCAGAAAAGAAGAAACAGTTTAAAGAATTGCAAGCCTATTTGAAGAAGCTCTCTGAACGTGAAGATGCGGCTATTCTTTTGGGTGGAGATTTCAATATCGAGATGTCCCTCATCAAAAGGTTTGTTTTACCTGAGTTCATTCTTCCTGAGTACACACCATCAGAGCGACGGAAAGGAAAAAACATAGATTACTTCATGGCTTCTCCAGCATTGACTCTTACAGATCTAGGGTATATTGATCTTACCAAAACAAAGGGTGCAAAAGATGACAAAGAGAAGGATACAAGGACGCAGGATCCATACAGATTGTTGGATCACGACCCAATCTTGGCAACTGTGGCCAGGAGAAAGGCGCTGGAAAAAGTGATTCCACTACCGAAGACATTTGCATTACGTGAGATAGAAGCTAGTGAACGAGCAAGCTAGACTAACTTAATATTATTCTTTTAATTACATTTCATCTATTTGTCTTAAGGATCCTCGTACTACTACTAAAACTGTAACTTCACATTGGAAACTGCATTTTTTTCTGGCATGACTATAGACTTGATAAATCATTTATAAAAAGAAAACCATACATTGTACATTACTGGACTTTAATGGAAAAAAATATATGAAATAAATTTAATATGATTAACAATAATGTTCTGAGTGCAAAAAAACAATCGGGCTACCCGGAATTCTGATCCTGGTCTTCAGGTTTTGTACTATCACTCTTACCGACAGAGCTATCTGGTCCGTGCTCAAATGTGCTTCAGGTTTTTCCAAAACGATTTTAGGGGAGATAACTGTATATACGAAAAAAAAACACTGCGTCGGGACAGGAATCATTATTATCACATAAGGGAACTATCACCTGTTGATACAACTTATAGAGACGGTGCGAATCTATTTCTCCTCCTCAGATGTGATTATGATAGTGTTCATTTTATCCACCACATTGTGTTATTGTACGTAATGGAGACAGATAATATAATGTTTGATTTGATTTGATTTGGCAAACAATGATAACACTAAATATATGTAACTTTTAAATTTATAATGTATGCGGATTTTCTGAATATCTTATCTTTTTCAGTTACCAAACCAAAAAGAAATCTTAGTAGACTCTTTGTTGATATTCCAGTCTGGCACATGTGTGATAGCGATTTGTCATTGCAAATGAATTGTTTGTGGCACATGTGTGATAGCAATTTGTCATTGCAAATGTATTGTTTGTGGCACATTATGTAAGGTTTGTGACATATTGTGTATTGTTTGTGACATATTATGTATTGTTTGTGACATATTATGTATTGTTTGTGACATATTATGCATTGTTTGTGACATATCATGTATTGTTTGTTGCATATTATGTATTGTTTGTGACATATTATGTATTGTTTGTGACCTATCATGTATTGTTTGTGGCATATTATGTAAATTGTTATTGATACTCTTCATGACAAGCATCTTTCTAAAAGTTAGAAAGTTGACATTTTTACGTAGAGTCTCATACGTTTAATTTAACTCGTGGATACAAAAGGAAACATGCAATAAGAGAGAAATGTTAATGACAATCGAGCAAGTAACCAGATTTCCACGTTAACTCATTGCAATCAAAACATAGGTTATTAACTTTATGATCTAACTATAGAAAATGTAAGGGACAGGCCATCATCATTTTACACTCGATAAAGCCTAGCCAGTGAGAAATAACAGCATGTTATATATTTCGGACGGATACAAACGGCTTACGCAAGACGGATGAAATTGATTACTTACAATATGTTAACAATATAATACAAAATAATACAAATGTATTGTCTTATAATAGTTACAAGTTTTGAAACTTTGTATTCAATGTTAAATGTTTTTGATGATACACTCAGAACTTGTGCAAATATTGAATGAATATAATGCTTTATTTGTTAAAGAAATTGAATAAGATTAAATCTACTGTGAAGCCATTCATTTTATAATGATGACGTCAGGTTATCACACCAGTCCAGCCAATCAGAACGATGACACTAATAACCTGTCAAAAAATATGGGAATACATTAGTAATATGTTGAATGTATTCTAATGGAATCAACCTTCAAATATATTTTTATGATTGTATTATTAAAACAAAATTTTAGATAATGAAATATATTGTAAACCAACAATGATTTATTGAAATATCAATAAAACTTAATTGACTTACATCTAGTTATTATTTATTGACAAAATGCTTCGGATACAATTTATATAAAGAGGTTTCTCTACAAGAGATGGCTGGTTACGAAGCACAAATCTAACCGAATGTCATTTACAATTCGAAAACGAAAGAACGAGAGTTAAAATAGTAATCAACCATCAAAAGTCCGTGAATTTTTTTCTCTCACAATGTTCATCTATTATATCTAGAAAATCATATGTTTCCCTTGACAATTCATCATTCCTGTTACCGATCAAGGAAACAATTGCCATGATCTATGAGGTCACAATGGAAGATGACATCGCACAGCATTGCTATTTGACGTCCTATTTAGATGATTGACCGATAATATAACGTCCAGGGTGTTACCAAATAGTGAGTAACGAAAATATATTTACCAACTCCTAGCAGAGAGATCCGATGAATCGGGAGTGAGGAAACCTTAAGTGGCTGTGGAATAAATTAAAACTTCTTCTTAGAAGATAGATGGTTGACTTCCCACACATTATACTTATATGCAGGTTCCTCGTCAACTGTTGGGTTCGGGGCAGTATTAGGAATTGAGTGGTTTTATGGAACATGGTGTCAAGCTGCATTTGAATACCACATTACAGCACTAGAGCTATATCCAATTGTAGCTGCTATCTATACATGGGGAGAAAACCTTTGCTAATAGGGCTGTCTGCTTGTTTACCGACAATTTAGCATCAGTGTACATCATCAATAAACAATCTTCTAAAGATCCAGTCATTATGACTATGGTACGGGTTATGGTACTGTTGTGTTTGAAACACAATATCTTGTTCCGAGCATCTCATATAGCAGGGGCGACAAATAACTTAGCTGATGCCCTGTCTCGTTCGCCGGTACAGCTGTTCAAAATGCTGCTGCCATCTGCCCTATGCCATCCCACTCGAATGCCATGCCAGATTGCCCAGGAACTGTTTTTCAAACCCTAAATGATCTCTTGGAGGCGTCTCTGTCTAAGCCGTCACATAAGTCATACAATCATGCGTTACAACTTTTCAATCGGTTCTGTCTTCAATACTTACATCTTCATGTCCGGCTACCAATCAATTACACAATTGTGGTACTTTATGTGGCGTATGCCCATAGTATGAAATTTGCACATTCAACAATTGCATCACATCTATCGGCAATATCTTTCGTGCATAACCTGCACGGCTACGTAGACCCAACAAAAACATTTTTGGTTCGCAAGGCATTACAAGGCTCCGCTCGCCTCGCTCGTTCATATGACACACGTTTACCTATAACCGAACACATCTTGATAAAACTTTGTAAGGCACTTCCTTCTACTGTGTCAGATCCAGAAGTACAAGTCTTGGTACAGGCGGATTTTACTGTGGCCTTTTACAGCTTAGCACGGACAGGGGAATTGCTATCTAACAATGCTCACGTTAATCATCTCCTGCAGCTTTCAGATGTAGCGTTTGAGCACAATGATCGGATTGCTGTCATGATGCATATCACTTTCAGAGAAATTAAACATAATACTGCTTGCAAACCTCACGTTATTCCAGTGGTGGCTATTTCGGAATCATTATTCTGCCCGGTTCAGTCGGTAATCAAGTTTGGTCAAATACGTAGTTCAGGGTCCGCCCCACTCTTTGTTCTGCCACGCGGTTTACCTTTCCCACGAAAGCGTTTCGATGCCATCACGAGTAGATGTCTTCGGTTTTATGATCTTGATACATCTCGCTACAAAGGTCATAGTTTCCGAATAGGTGGGGCTTCATGCGCTGCAGACAAAGACTTATCTGACGCGCAAATTCGACAACTAGGTCGTTGGAAGACAGATGCCTTCAAGAGATATATCAGAACAACTGCCATTTGATATTGATGACAAAACAACGCCAATAAGACATTGTAGCGGGACGCTCGTCTTTGTTGGTTTTGTTACACTCTGGTTGTATAACTGTTTTATCAAGTTCAAAGTTTTGTACTTAACATTTACACCAGTCGTCACTTAAAGACAGGTTTACAACTTCTGTAGCTATTGCAGACACCAACTTGTGTAAAACAAAGCCTATTGTAAGGCATTTAGGTAGGAACAGATTATTATTAGTTCAAAGTGTTTGTTATTTTCCGATTATCCTGTATATCCATGTTTTGTAGCATTTAATCATCTGAATAGTTAATAAGGTTGCAACGGGTAGTTCCGATATGTAAACATAATACCAATAAGACATAGTAGCGGGACGCTCGTCTGTATTGGTTTTGGTAAAGTTTTATGTATGAGCCGAATGGCTGTTAAATAACATAATTACACTTTTGCCATTTAATTAAATGTGAGATTGTAGTATGTACAGATTAACTTCAACAATTTTGTTGAGTCGACTTATTCGTATATATATCTTCTTGTTCGTTATTACTATGAAATAACATGCAGTTTGGGTGGCGGCGTCATCGGTGATGTCTTATGGCAGTATCGTTTGCCGCACCTTCACTAAAATAATATTTTATGAAACAATAAATGTATTGAAATTTTGATCAAAGATAAAAAATTAAATTCCGGCATACTGATAAAGGTTAGCCAATTACGCCAATACCGTTGTCTGTGTGTTATCTATTATTTAAGTGAACAGAGCTTCATTGCATGTTATGGCTAGAATGGTGCTAGGTAGCTGATGCTGCAGTGAGTTCTTGGACGGATTTAGGAGGTACAAAAATAAAAGTATATATTTATATATACAATTTTTTGGTTGATGAAATTATTCCGTATGTTTTTTATAGATTTCGATTCCGTATTTTGTGACATCAGTTCTCAATATTTATGGAAGTTAAAGATATGTCAAGGCCAGCTGCCATTGGTTAAAATTGGTCAAGGTTAATGCCCATTGGTCAGAGAGGTAGCAACGAGAGCCCCGTGGGGTGGAAGCTGATAAACCCCTTACTCTCGCTGCTGTATCAAGACGCCATATTGGTTTGAGAAAAAATTGTGAAAACTTAAATTGATCCCTCCCTCCTCCCCTATCAGCAACCTTGCAATTTTTAATCATCTAAATGTCATGCAGCTAATTTTTCAAAAAATGATTACAATATAGTCTACTTATCGTGTTATGTCATTTGTCAATGAACTTGTTTTGAAAGTTTTAATAGAACGTATATATTTGTTGTTAATTGTAATATTTATTATATAAAAAACAAAGTTTTGTCAGTCATATTTGTATGCCCGGTTTATCTTCAGATGTTAAGTTTATTTATGTGCAGCGTCAATATCCCAGGTGTTATTGGTAATAACTAAGTGAGTAAACACTTACCAGCTGGCCTGAGCATGGTAAAATCCTACCTCCCCCTTACTGGTAAGGGGTTGGGGCAGCCCGCTCGCAGCGCACTTTGGACATTGTGTTGTTACTTACATGTAATTGTCTTAAGTTAATAAGGGGCGGTATATTTTGCCGCACATTCACTAAAATAATATTTTATGAAACAATAAATGTAATGAAATTTTGTTCAAGAAGATAAAAAATTAAATTCGGCATCCTGATAAAGGTTAGCCAATTACGCCGGTGATGTCTTATGGCGGTATCTTTTGCCGCACCTTCACTAAAATACTATTTTATGAAACAATAAAAGTTTTGAAATTTTGATCAAAGATAAAAAATTAAATTCCAGCATCCTGATAAAGGTTAGCCAATTACGCCGGTGATGTCTTATGGCGGTATCTTTTGCTTACGCCAATACCATATAATATTTTATGAAACAATAAATGTTTTGAAATTTTGATCAAAGATAAAAAATTAAATTCCAGCATCCTGATAAAGGTTAGCCAATTACGCCAATACCATTTTCTGTGTGTTATCTATTATTTAAGTGAACAGAGCTCCATTGCATGTTATGAATTAAGGCTAGCATGGTGCTAGGTAGCTGATGCTGCAGTGAGTTCTTGGAAGGATTTAGAAAAAATACTTTTCTGACACTACACCTCGTGACATACTGATCTGTATTCACTGTATAACTACATATTATACTTGAGGTGATACTTAACCTCATGATGTGAGACTTCGATTCGCTGTGTCTTAGATAATACCAATAGAGTTCTTAATATTACGATCTTAGTTCGCCGTGTTACTAAAATTGTGATATGAGGAGCTGTTTTTGAAGTTAGCTGGCATCGTCACAGGAAGAATTGTCAGTTGAACGGCGATAGATCACCTGATGGATGGAGCTGTGTTCGGCGGGTAGCCGCAATAATAATTCAACACCTGTCTTCAGTATTATCCACACGGAAACTGCAAATCACCAGACATTGAATTATATTATTTTAAAACATTACTTACTTTCCGAAGCACTATATACATTTGTCCTGACGTAAAGAAAATGATAACAAAATGTAGATTTATACATATAACACACCTAACTGACAAACAATAATCCATATTTCTTTCAAAATTTTCATGAGTCAGACAATGTAATAATACTATGCGCGAAGTGTCCGTGTAATTTTTCAATTAATCATGAAAATGTCGGAAACAGGAACTCAAAGTGAGAGTAAATAGATATGACAATGTTTCATTCCTCAGTGTGAAGGTTTAAAAGTTCAAGACAGAGGGTATGGAAACCTTTTCTGCCACATATTCGAGTTTTGGAATCACTTATCCAAGATAACCCTGTAAGTATCATACCTATGATGGTTTTTTGGGAGGCAGGAGTTTTTACTATTACACTTACTTTCCGTCACTCAATCCGTCCGTCAGCCCATAAACGTGAGGTACGCCGTCAATTTTGAACGGTTGCACGTATTTGTCATGGCTGTATCCCAATTCGACGGAGTCTCGCGTACAAGTCTGAGATTGCAGCAAGTTGATAATCAAACCATTGTTATGGTTATTGAGGTCAACACTTCTGAATATCTCAGAATGTTTGAATGGCGAAAACGTTTTGATGACGCTTTACAGATATATTTATTACCGTAGAACGGTACATGGTATGTAACAAGTCCAAGCGAGCACGTTCTTTTGCGTGCCATATATCGGAATACCTCATAAATAATCAATGACTCATATACTGTATACTGGGAAAATTCCGCCCAGTAAAGCTCTTTGTCTATGAAATCTATATTTGCCCATTGTTCATTTGGTCTTTTGCATTGTATAGCTTTGTTTATTATAATCTTTTCTAATATTCGCTGTAATGATAAATTCGCCCTTATTGCGGAGGGCGAAAAGGGCAAAAATCAAACAGGTATACAGTAATACAGTTTATCGCGTATAACTCTCACCAGCAACGTAAACGTTACCGATAATTAAAAACTTAAGGCGTTGTAATGAGCTGCCTTAAACTCCTAACAGGGTTACAGCCAAAACAGAAATTACCACATTGTATGTCATTGAAATCCAATCTGACACCTCAATACACAAACTATACAGTTTCTACTTTACACTTCATATCTATATAAGCTTTACAAACATACATATATACTGTTTTCTAAAAACAATATACAGTTACATGTAACCATGATGTGAATGTAAATGTGTTTCAATGAAAAACTTGCGTCATTGAAGTTTTACATGATAATATAAAGTTTGATAACCCGAAAGTCTAATACAGATTAATACCATTATTTGTCCTTCCATTACGTATTTTTCTTTCAAAATTGCCCAATAGATTAATTTATAGCAAAGGTTTTCTAACTTCCATATCTTTTAACTATCAAAAAAAGCCTTTAAGTACGAAATTTTGAAATGAACTATTTATTCGACAGCCGTATACGTTATAATATACTGTATAAAAAGTAACTTAATTATTGAATTGATTTCCAAAAGGTGGATTTCCAAATATTTAGTAACTTGTCATTTTCCATGACCGTTTTGTTAGTTCCATTACGACAATTGGATACCTTATTTGATATCTTTGTAGATCATATTTGGAGTAGAGGAAATGGGGGCGGATCAATAGTATCGTACAGGTGGCGCACATTTTTCCAAAGACCTCGCCATTGTTTTTAAAACTCCGCTGATTCGCTTTCGTGTACATGTTTTGAACGGATATAATGTAAATATACTGGTCTAATTTTAAGTAAAATTGTATCTTGCGTTATTCCGACCTACTTGTATTGTTATTTGTTTAATAGCATTGTTGAGCCCGACATTAGCGCCGAGTGAGGAACGATGATTTGATTTGATAAAACTAGCATCAGTTTAATGGTGCTTCTGTCGAATTCCTTTATTGATTTTGAGTTCAAATTATCCGGATTAGTCTTGTTTTGTTGAGTTCGACATAATTGTCCATCAGAATGTTGACAAACGTATGGAGACAAACTGTGCCCTTCTCACAGACAAACGTATGGAGACAAACTGTACAGAGACAAATTGTGCCCTTCTCACAGACAAACGTATGGAGACAAACTGTGCCCTTCTCACAGACAAACGTATGGAGGCAAACTGTGCCCTTCTCACAGGCAAACGTATGGAAACTGTGCCCTTCTCACAGCTGACTTGTTTTCCTTTGTTCACATTTCCTCCTCTTTTTATCGATTTTGAGTGTTAATGATGTTTTTTTGATGATTCGGTATTTTTTGTTGTTTTGTTTTTATTTCATAAAGGTACTGTTCCTTTTCTATTCAAAGTTTATTTTACTTTTTGCTATTGAATCCCCCAAACGTTAACATTTTTGACCCCTAGCATCAATGAGAAGTCCTAGAAGGATGAAACAGCTGTATAGTACAAATACTATTTTTTGACACAATGAATCTACTACCAAGCTGTTTTAGGTCCAATCACGCGTGTTTGTTTTACCGTCATCTTTTTCTGTTTCAAAATAAGATATTGTAAAGTTAGTTTTATATTAACCCATACGTTCACCTCCATAATGCATCGCCACATATGCTTTTGGTTTTTTTTTCTAATTAGATCCTGGCGCTCCTATTATCTGTTTCAACACAGATTACATATCCGTAGTCTATATCTCAGATTCAACAATCATCTATTCAATATCTCTATTGATTTAAAATTGTGTATATCGAATATGAAATAATATTTCCAAACGTAACATTAATTCAAAGCCTTATTTCAGTACACAGAACACACTTA